TAAATGTGAGTCAAAGTCTTGTGATATAATAACCACATCGTCCAAATAAACCAAAACGTTGGGTTGCAATTCAGGTCCCAAAATGGTATCGATAATGCGCTGAAAAGTCGCAGGGGCATTAGTCAAGCCGAAGGGCATCCTTCGAAATTGGAAAAGACCACGACCAGGCACAGTAAAAGCTGTGAAAGGGCGCGAATTCTCAGCAACCTCTATTTGCCAATAAGCTGACTTAATGTCCAGGGAACTAAGATATTTAGCGTCACGTAATTGGTCTAAGATGGTATTGATATAGGGCAAAGGAAAAGCGTCGCGCTCAGTTAAAGAGTTAAGTTTCCTATAGTCCACACAAAATCTATAGGTTTTGTCTTTCTTGGGAATCAGACAGACAGGTGAAGCCCATCCGCTGTTCGATGGTTCGATGACTCTGTCCCTAAGCATCTCATCAATGGTGTCATTAATGATTTTCTGTTTAATCGGATTTACTGGATAGTACCGCTGTTTAATAGGAATAGCGCCCTCTACCAGGCGTATCTCGTGTCTACCTACTGGGGTTAATCCTAGCTTGTCTCCCATGAGCGAAAATTTCAGATCTAAGAGGGTTTGTAAAGAATGGTGTTGTTCATCAGTGAGACGAGACTGTTCCACTATGGCCACACTAGGTTGAGTTGGCGTGCAAGAAGTAAAATGCCAACAGTCATCGCTAATATTCGGAATGATACCCATCCTATCCCAAAAATCTACTCCCAGGATCAAATTAGTAACCAAATCAGGCATCACCAACAAATCTAACAGCACAGTACGATCCTTTAAGGTAATTGGCACAGTGATGTAACCAATCGAATGTGCATCGGAGCTATTTGCTACCGTACAAGAAATAACTTTCGGTACAAAATTGAAATTGAGTATTTGCAATTGAATTAAAGTATCGGAATTGATAAAAGAACGTGAAGCGCCAGAATCTAATAATCCCAAAAAAGGAATGTCTAAAATTTTAATTTGGACATAAGGTCTCAAGTCATTTCCCACATGCTGTAATAAAAAGTCAAGTTTAGGTTTGGAAGAAATTTTCAAAATTTTTGTCGCCTGTACTAAAGAAACGTCACGACGACTTAATGAGCGTTTCTCGGAGCGTTTCCCGAACAAAAAGAACAACTGCGCACCGTAACGCCTTGTGCGCCACATTTCCAGCAAAATAATTGCCTTGGTTCAGGACAATCAACACGATGATGACCTAATTTTTGGCAATTAAAGCAAGGAGAATTTGGAGTTTCCATTGCATAAATAGGTGGACGTGGTGACATTTGTCGACTACTGGTGGGACAGCTAAACCCCGGTTCGAGTAATGGTAATGATGTTCGGTTGCGTAAGGCATGGTGTCTGTCTAAATCATGTTTGATATCGTCAAAACGTCTGCATTCAATTAAAAGTTCATCTAATGTCTGAGGAACATTAGGACCTAATTTAGTCAAATAAAATGGTGATAAATTGCGTTTAATTAAACGGACTTGTTCATATTCTGGAGGTGGTAATTTTAGTCGTGAAAATAAACCCTGCATTACTGCAAAATAAATGTCTACTTTTTCATTCTGACCCTGTAAACGAGCTTTAATTTCGTCGAGCAAATCTTCCTCATAGTGTGGTGGTAGAAATGCATCTCGTAGTAATTGCACTAAGTGCTCCCATGAAGTAGCTTTATGAGAATTAATGTTGTACCAGGTGTTCGCAGTACCTTCAAATAAATCGTAGGCGGTCTCAAATAAAGTTGGATGATCTACTCCACGAGCACGAGCCATTCGCTCAACTCGGTCGATAAATGAATTCAAAGTTTCACCTCTACTATCCCCGGAAAATTTTAATCCCCATTTATGTACAGGAGTACTCGGTACGGATAATCTTGGTTGTAGTTCTGCAGTACGTCTAGTAGGTGTAGAAGAAACTACAGCAGTTGCTGAAGGCATAATTGAGTCGTTAAAATGAAAAGCTTTGTTATCGAGTGAAGCTCTTAATTGTCGAAATAAACGAACTAATTCCCCAAGTTTACTTAATTGTTCAGCAGAAGGCTGCAATAATGTGCGAGTCCTATGTAAACGTCTGTCGGCATGAGCTAGCATGGTAACAATTGACAAATATGAACCTCCCCCAAAAGCATCATCAAAATTGTCAATCTTATTCTGAAGGATCACTGTCAATTCAGTAAGAGCAGCTAAATCCTGAGCAAAGGTAAAAGGGTACTCTGGAGCAACATAACCAGGTGCTTTCTCTAACTCTAACAATTTTCTGAGAATTAAACGACTTTCGTTCATATTACTCCCCATTTGTCCCGCTCTAATCTCAATTTCATATTGGAGTTCAGTCTCTCTTAATCGGTTAATTTCCATAGCCATGAT